CCAAGAGCTGGGGGAGCCAGAATGACCTCGCGTTTGATGTCCGAGCGGCAACGCTGCTCGGACATCACACACGAGAGGTGGAATTTGCCCCTACGAGTCCAAGGCCACCACCCCGGGGCTCAGGGAGGCAATGGAACATTTCACCCCGCCCATCCCCCCTCCCGAGAGCTGGGAGAGCTAGAATGACCTCTCGCGTGTGATGGATATCACACGCGAGAGGTGGAATTTGCCCCTACAAGGCCACCACCCCGGGGCTTAGGGAGGCAAGGGAACGTTTCGCCCCTCCCCCCACGCGGGCGTCACAGCTGCCGCCGAGAACAGCAACGGCGGCCATAACTTTTTAAAGAGCCCCTCTCAAGAGCTGGGGTAGCCAGAATGACCTCTCGCGTGACATCACACGCGACATCACATATGAGAGGTGGAATTTGCCCCTACGAGTCCAAGGCCACCACCCCAGGGCTCAGGGAGGCAGGAGAACATTTCTCCCCGCCCCACGCATCGCAGCTGTCGCCGAGAACAGCGGTAGCGGCCATAACTTTTTTTTTGAGCCCCTGGAGGGGATTTTTTATTATTTTTTATCACTACAAAAAAACTACAACCGAAGAAAAGGGAGGGGAAACTACATATATGGGATAAAGTAAAGAACCCACTACTACAGACAGAACAGAGAACCTTTATTTGGCATACCACCCACTACTAACTAAAAGCCCAAGAGAGGAGATCCTCCAACTAGCTTAGATACATCAAGTCTTCCCATCACTGATTCCTTTATAAACTGAGTCAAACATTTATAACATTTTTTCTTTAAAACTTAGATTTAAACTAACAACAGTACCCCCAATCATCCCATAACAAAAGTCTCAAAGGCACATTTCAGAGTCCTTCAGCCTTTACTTCTCCTTTCGCCTTCTCTTCTGCAGCTTGTAAGGACTTTTTGAGGCTGCTGCCCCTTGCTCCGACAGAGAGTCCTCTCCGGAAGAACCAGTTTCTAGCTCGCCACTGGACTTGCTGTCCTCTTCTTTTTTCCCGTCCTCTGGCCTTCCCATCTGGACCCTTAGAAATTCTTGAGCTTTCTGAACAGAGTCAATCTTTTCTTTTTTGTCTTTAATCTTGAAAGTGACGCCCTCTGGAAATAGCCATTTATATCCTTGAGTTTGTCTGAAGGAAAAGCACAAGTCCTTTGGACTTCTTTCTCCATTGTCTTACTTCAAATGGAACATCCTTTAGCATTCTGATGGTATTTTCCCCCGGCTCCAGGGGTGTTCCAGCAACCGCTTTCAGGATTGCATCCCTGACATGCCTCTTCGAGAATCTCACCACAATTTCCCCAGGCAGATTATTTTTCTTTATGTAGCCTGAATATTATCTATAGACCACATCCATGTCGTTGAGCAGCGATTCCACCTTCATTTCTGTCACTGGGGCTAGCAGTTCACTCATCACTTCTTTAAGATTCTCCCCTCTGTTCTCTGGCACGCCCTGGAAACGAAGGATCATATTAGCCTCTTCCATTTGGACTTGCAACAGTTGATCTTCCATGGAGATTTGTTTCCTTTCCAGCTTTTGCACTTTCTTCTTCACTTTCTGTGTAGTTACAGCCACTTCCTTTACCTTCTCAGCATCTTGCGTCATTATTTGTATCAAGTCGTTCAAAAGTCTTTCTCTGTCCTTCTTCCCCGCCATCTTTATCATTTGTTTACTTTCGCGAATTTTTAAAAAGACTCTGAATGTGCGCTTGACCGCTTAAATTTGCTTTGGTAAGTACTTCTAGGCAGTTTTCCTCGCGTTTTCTTCCACTCCCCCCCTCGATCACTCAAAAGTTCATGCGCATGGGAGGCGTCCCTCCCCCACTCATTCCCCACCCCATTCAAAAGGGTGGGGTGGGGAGCTATCTTTTCCCCTCTAACACTTCAGAATTGACTCACGTTCATAATTGGTCGTTCGACCTCGCTTTCATTTCATTTCTGCCGCATGATCTCCTGCGCTTGTCCCGGTCAGCGTCACTAAGTCCATACGATCTCACAGCACGGAGAACCGTCGGAACGAAGAGGCGCCTCAATTCTCCGGCATTCTGCCGTCAAGAGGCAACCTCTTATAAGTTCCATGGCCAGGGTCCCTTCGCTGGGCCCCTGGGGGGGTTGTGACCCTGCGCACCCCCTTCTTCGGAGCGCAGCTTCACCCCCAGAAAGTCCGGGAGGTGAGTCTGCTAGTGCGCCTAAACCGGAAGTCTGGCCCTAACTTTTTAAGGAGGCCCGAAGGAGAGCTGGGGGAGCCAGAATGACCTCTGGCGGGAGAGGTGGAATTTGCCCTTAGAGTCCAAGGCCACCACCACGGGGCTCAGGGAGGCGGGGGAATGTCCCCCCCCCACTTGTCCCTACTGATGGCTGGTGAGAGCAGGGGGCGGGGCTTATGTGCCCTCCCCCTGGGCTCCTGGGGAGCTGTGGGCTGGGGCAGTAACCGAGGCCTGGATCTCATTTCAGCATAAAAAATTATATGAATTCATGAGGATCCATGCTTTGAAATAATGTTTTTGCGCTGTTGTGGTGCCACGAATCTGTGGATGCATGGTTTTTGTTGTGCTCCCTATAGACTGACACATGGTCTACGGTATGATGGTGGTTTTATTTCGTTTCAATGTAAAAATTCATGAGGATCCATGTAGATCCGACTTTTACTTTTTCCCCGTGGTGTCTCTGGTCAGCCTGAGCGAGTGCTCCGGGGGTACTTTGTCTGGCCTTCTGAAGGAGTTGCATGAGCCTCTGTTCGCCTGTCCCTCTCCTCCGGCCTCTGTGTTTGTGTGTCGGTGCTTGGTGCCTTCTCTCTCCCCGCCTCCCAACCCTCGTGCACCATTTTCTCTCCTCTCCACGACAGGCAGAGAACAGGCAAAGCGGCGGCGGTTACAGCCGCTGCCTCCCGTCTCCCGCCCCGTCTCCTCAGATGCCCTTTGCCGTTGCCGCAGGTTTATTATTACAGTATGTGACTGCTTTCTACCTCCCCCACCCCCTCCGTCCAGGGTTGGCGCCGCGCCGCGGCTGTGCAGATCCTTGGCTGTGCTTCATGCCTGGCACCTCTCCCGCCAGCCTCTGCTCTTTATTATTTGTCTGGAAAGCAGCAACGGGTAAGGGAGGAGGAGGAGGGAGGGTGCAAGGCGGCCGGGCTGACCGATGCCTGAGTTCACCAATGGGCGCCTTCAACTTGCCCAGACTTGGGCTCGGACAGAGGCCATGTAGGACCTCCGGCGGCAGCCACGGTGGGGGAGGGGGAGACCCAAGCAGCGCGAGCCCTCCGCTTCCCCTCCCGCGCCGTCGCTGCCGCTGAGTTTCCAGCATTCCCCGGTCTGTGGCCAGTGATTGGTCGGGTATTCTCCGGCTGCTAGACATGGGAGGGGGGAGGGGGACTTTGAGCTGCAGATTATTGCAGACTAAGCAGTCTGGCTCTGCAGCAGCAAAGGGAAGGGGGAGGGGTGTGTGCGAGGAGGGGAGAGGGGAGCGCTTGGCGCCTCGCCAACTACCATCAGAATTAGCTCATTGTTCAATATAGGCAGGCAACCAAAGCCTGAGAGAGATTTTCCCCTCTTGCTGCCCCCACCCCCTTTTCTTTCTGTTTTTCCCCCCTTCCCCGGCTGCACTGTGAAAGAGGTGCAGTCATTCCTCCCCACACCCTCTTACCCAGCCCACTCCCCCCCCCCTCTATAAATTCTCTTCTTCTAGCATGCTCCCCCTTTTTAAATCCACATTTGTATTTCAGATCATGTAGAAAGGACAGAGTGAGGAGGGAACAGGGGCTTTTGCTTGTAAGTATATACATCCTCCTCCCAATGCACAGCCTTTTAAAGAGATTTCTCCTTCTCTTTCCAAGTCTTTTGTTTGTAGGTTAACCCCCCCTCCTCCCGCTTGGAATGTGCTGTAAGCAAATTCATAGGGATTTTAAAAAAAGAAAATACTCTTGGTTGTTTAATATTTCCAGAGAAGACTGTAAAGAAGAAGAAACGTGCAGTATATGTAGACTTAAATCTTTGTCTTTCTGTGCCAAGGGTGGATTTTAAAGCTGGGGATATTAATGGTTGCCTTGCCTTAGGTGTATTTTTAGAAACAGGCGTTCTTCCTGCAACAACCTTCTACATTTTAACATGTGTAGCTGTTAAGGCAGGAGTGAATTTTATCTTGCATTACTTATTTTCTGTACAAAGTCCACTATTGGATGAAGTGTGACTGACAATGTAGAAGCTTGAAATATTTTACCTGACTTTTTTCCCCCTGTACGTGTTATCATACCTGAATCTGCTCAAACTAATTAATGAAAATATGCATAGAATAAAATAGAAATGTTAGATTATGCGTGCTAATTTTGGAAGGAAATCACCTGGTGGATGATGTAATTGTATCCTGAAAATTTCACATCATTTAATTCTTTTACATTATTTTTAAATAAAGGTTTTGGGGGGAAATTGTAAGTTAATCTTTTTCTTTCAGGGAAGAGGTGTGAGCTGGCATTTAGTGCTTGAGAGAGCTAGAGGTTATGTAATGCAGTGCCATTTCCAAAAATATCCCCTCTCCGGGCTATTACGTTGTGCAAGTGTGATTGTAATACTGCTGCCTTCAGTGAAAAAAAGCAGTTGGTAGTATGTCTGAGAACAATGGATAAACTATGCAACTGTCACAAAATGCATTTTTTTTCTTGTCTGATATTTGAAGTGGGTTAGGTATGGTGCACTTCAAAGAGATGCAGTGTGCTAAGAATAGCATTTGGGTTTGCATAGCCAGTCAGGGATTCCTTTGTCCTATATTTAAGAGTATAGACTGCTAAAGTGCAAAGAAACGTGACATGGGGGTAGATTAATTTGCAAGTTTTAGATCTTAACCAGTACTTATTATTTGATTTATTTGCCGGTTTGGCATACAGCCTTTTGTATTTGGTGACGTGACTTGAGTTTTTTCTCTTTAATTTTTTTGCAGACTACCGCTACCAGAGGGAAAGTGTAGTCCCAAGTCTTAATAGAATCTGAGAATGGTAAGAATTGGTTGTTTTAGCAAGTAAAAAGAATCAGTTTCAGATAAATATTAATCTGATATGCTTATCCCAACACATGTTCATCAACATGACCTTTAAAATGCATCCATTGGGATTTTGGTGATCTGCCATGCAATGAATAATGCACTTGAAAAGCCTTTGTGAGTTGGATTTTCCATTTTCAGACATTTTGAACGGAAGCCTGAAGTCTGTCTTCCTGAAATAAAATGTTCTTAGAACAAGAGGAATTCTTTAGTACACCATATGCATTAGAAGTTGCACAGATTTTTATGTGTGTGTATATACACGCCCACAATGTGTCAGTGTATTCTTCATTAAATGTCTTATAAAAAGTCACCATAAGTGGCAGCTGAGATAATTACTATTGCATATTGCATGTTCTTTCTCCATAGCAGCTTAATTGCATATTCTTACATAAAGTTTCATTTGAACATCCATTTGGTGAATGCAGTTTTAACCCCCTTGGTGGACCGACTGAAATTATCCCCCTGTGTAGTATGTATGTAATTACTGAGAAGTACACCAATTGCAAGATCATTTCAATGTATTTTTTCAATATTCTTTGCCATTTGTATTTAATACATTTGCTATTTCTATGTTCCTTTCTCATATTAAAACTAATCTGTTACAATGACCTGTAATTGCAATCTTTGTTGCCAGAATTTTAAATTGATGGGGGTGGGGGTATATGTGGGAATGTTGGCCCAACAGTTAGTACTAAATATTCCAACTAGTGGAAAGTTTTGTGGTTTGTATTAAGTAATGAAAATAACCCTTTTAAAAAAAAGAAGTTTGAGTAAAATTTGATGGGCTCTAGCCTAATTATCCCTCCCCCTCTGAAAGTTCTGTGTTATCCAGGGGAGAAAGTTTTGGGCTTTGGAAATTAATGCAAGTCTGTCAACATAAGCAGAACTACATTGGGTGTACATTGTCACAAAATTTGATTCAAAATAAAAGGCAAAAAGAAGATGAGATTCTGAGAACATCCTTGACTTCTTATCTGCTTGTGAAAAAAGAATGAGACAGTTAGCCTATGGAATGTGTTCCAAATTTAGCTTTCACCAAATAACTTAATGGATGAATCCATTTCAGGAATTCTTGTAAACATTTCTTCTTTCCAGAAACTATTATAGATTTTTTCTTATTTCATTAATTAAGTGGTTAATGCTAAAAAAATGAAAGTGGAGATCGTCATGACAGCCTATTAATATCATTTTCTTTACGGGCCAAACTAGACAAGACAGCATCCAGAGGTCCGACCTGTGGATGCTGCCACCATTTTAAAGGAATTTTAAAATGCCACAAGGGCCTGATCCTGATTGGGCCCACAGCATGGCAGGCTGAGGCATTCTTGTTCCCCATAACTTTTCACTTTAAACAAGAGTGTCTCAGCATTTTGAAATCCCTTTAAAATGATGGTGGTGTTCACATGTTGGACCAATGGGTGCTGTCACATTTAGTTTGACTCTAGGAAAGAGTCTGTTCATGCATTTTATTTCCATTTCCATTTGTCTGGTGGGAAGCAAACCTTGGATGTTACTTTACTAAAGCAGAGAACAAAAGGATGGTCATGTTCAGTAATAAAAAGGTAAATTTGCAAATTTCAATTAGCTATAAATTATACCATCTTAACTATGCTGCTTTTGTCAAAGTTGAAGACATAGAAGGGCCATTTTTTTTTGTACTTATGAATACAACAACGCTTTCTTGAAACTGTAATATGTAGGAACATTTTCACATAAAATACTTTACCCCCACATCTTAAATCTGTTTACTTGGAAATTCAGCCAACCGAACACAATGGACTTACCCTGTAGGAAATGTGTTTAGGATTGCATTATTAAATTATCAGATTTTCAAACTATATGATGACAAATTGCTTTCATACAATTCCTAACTGTTTTCAACTGGTGTCATCCTTCAGCTGCTACAAAGACTTCCAGTAGCTTCTCCTTTCATGCAAACCAATGGGTTAGGTGCTGGGAATCCTGAGCGCCTTTCCAAAAGTAGTGTCTGCCAGCATGTGAAAAGTCTTTGCAGAACTTTGAAAGTATCTTTCTACAAAGTTTGTGGGACTGAGTTTGGAAGACCAAAATGAAATCTGGGTGCACACTTGGAATCAACTTATATTTACCTAAGAAGTCGCACTGGATCCTGGCCCTAGTTTTCAAAGTCACATTTATAAAATAACTTGATTCTACTTTGCAGGGACACTATGCTCTTTTAGGTTGCTAGCATCCTATTTTACTGACCTTTGGCCAGATATTTCTGTTTATAATTTCTGCTCAGCAACTTGAGCTAAACAGCTTTATACAGTTCTTTTACCTGGCCCTCACCTGTCATCTATATCTTGCCTTCCAACTTTATCCCAGCTGTTAACTCCTGCCTTGGACCCTCTTCTACAGTTCTGCCTTGCCCTTTGCTATGATTGTGGTTCTTGGCCTTCCTACCCTCTTAAACTGATATTTTAACTGGCTGGCTTGTGCCACTACGCTGCTCTCAAGAAACCAGCTTCTCACCCTGCCATGGACCTTAACTACTTTTTGTGCACTGTGGTCATTCCACTTTCTGGTTCTGTATGACTGCAGATGCATAAACTTGAAGGAATGTGTATCATGGATTATCATTTTCATGCAATCTGTTATGTGACACACCCTATTTTGCACCTTCCCCAACACATCACTGCTATATCCTCTTGGCCTGCTCTCTGGCTTGCTGAAGCTAAATTTATTTCTATTCAGTTGTGTCCATCCAGGGTATTTCTTTAGTAGCAGGGTACTATGAAATGCTGATTAAGTATATTCATTGTTTGAAAGTTATAGGGCCTGTGTCCACAATCTCTTCTTAGCTTTTGTACTTTGTACTTTGCAAGTCAGACTTGGTCAGGGTAGGAGAGCACATCTAACTAGTTTGGCGTGTGCATGCAAAACCCTGCAAAGCATGGCATCATCTTTTGTCAGGTGCTGCTTCCCACAATTTCAAACATGGGCTTGGATTCTACTGAAAATTTCTGCTGACAGAAGAATTTCCATCAGTGGAACATGGCTTCATTGCCTGTACCTGCCTTCTTCAGCCCAAACTGGCCCCTGAAATGCCATTCTTGGTGGGTAGCACCAGGAACAGCATGAAGGGAAAGCTGGAGGTCTGCAGTGAAAGGGGAAATCAGTGAAGGTTCTGTCCCCTTCCATTCTCTACAGAATCCAATCCTTGAGCTATAGTGATGAATTGGAATTGCAATATGTGCTATGGCTTCAGGTTATTCTGCAGACACTGCAGACATCATGAAACCTGCAACTACTCTCAAAGCTTTGCACAAAATGCAGTGTAAGGTGCCGGGTTGGCATATAAACTGAAGCAGTCTTTCACCCTGCTCTGCGAAAGATGACATGTGCATAAAACAGGTTTCTGCAAGTGGATCTCCGTGCTGGATTGATATATGCACACATCCTCTGACAAATGGTTGGTGCAGTTATTTGATACGATTCAGCCTTTATCTGTGTGCATGATGGAGGGAAGTGAACCCCTCACTCCCCTCAAATAAGTGTTCTGAACGATCAGAACCTGTTTGTTGGTGGGCATATGCATTGCCAGGCATAAGGACGTTCGGATTAGAAAATCAGATTCTGCCTTAAAGTGTATTTGTAGTCATTATTAAATGCATCTCATAGAGGATAAAAAATGGGGGGAAAGTCGCAATGAGGAGCGATTGATACTTAATGGCCATATATAAAGATTTAAGTTTTATAATAGTTTTAATTTCAAGATAAGTATTTCTCATTTTAAATAACTATTAGTTTCCAGTCATGCAAAGAAAGCACTGTGCACTTTGTGCATATGATCCAATGAACATGCACATGTTGATTTGAAGATTACAGCTACTCCCCACCCCCCACCCCCTGCAAGCATGTTCATTCTACCCTTTTAAAAAGTTTCAAAAGGCTACTGGCCATTTAGAGATCAATTCAGAGTTCAATATAAATTTGTTGTGCTGACATTCATGTATGTAGGTACAAATTTGAGTTGACAGGTAGATGTATAGTAAAAGTGCACATGCTTTTATATTGGTAAGTTCTTCATATTTAACCTGTATAAGGAAAATGATAGTGATATTTAAATTATTATGTTTCTTTTTAATTAGAGCACAGAACACTATGTGTTTCATGTAACAGCATAGTTACCATATATGTAATTACACAATGTAATTCTGAAAAACATAATTTGATTTAAGTGTTTTAATGTAACATTTCAACATAACTGAAAGGGATAATACTGAGTATATTCCCCTCAAATATCATGGTTAAAAACACATTACTACGAAGCTCTGTGCAGCAATGCCAGCAAGGCAGATTTTCATGTACCAGCCCTTGAGGATATGTGGAAGGAAGTTGCTGAAGACAGGTCAATTTATGTGCTGCAGAACATAGTGCCTGCTCGCTTTCTGTGAAGACGTAGGGAAAAAGTGAGGCTCATGTTATTTCTTTTTTAAAAAGGTACTGATGCCTCCCTGCCTTGTCGTGGCAAGGGGGCTTGCGTGGTTCGATGAGGCTGTGGGCTATGGCGTGGAGGGCCACCCAAGAAGGACAGGCCACAGCAGAGAACTCAGACCAAGCGTGATCCCCTGGAGAAGGAAATGGCAACCCACTCCAGTATTTTTGCCAAGAAAACCCCATGGACAGTATCAAAAGGCTAAAAGATATGACGCCGGAAGATGAGCCCCTCAGGTCGAAAGGTGTCCAATATGCTACTGGGGAAGAGCAGAGGGCAAGTACAAGTAACCCCAGAAAGAGTGAGGCTGGGCCAAAGCCGAAAGGAAGCTCAGTTGTGGATGTGTCTGATGGTGAAAGGAAAGTCCGATGCTGCAAAGATGAGATGGTTAGACAGTGTCATAGATGCAACGAACATGAAGTTGAGCAAACTTCAGAGGACGGCGGAAGGCCTGGCGTGATCTGGTCCATGGGGTTGCGAAGAGTCGGACTCGA